TTTCCACTCGAGCACTCTTTAATTAAGAGGATCAATCTAATGTCGCACTCTTCTGCAGAATGCATTCCAATTTCCTTTACAAATTCTAAAAATACTTGAAAATGACACAAATGCATTGTATTAGCTCAAAATCAAACAAAACCGGTCTCTTTCTGTAACCTTTCCAGACACATGGGAAAGCTATGCTTGCTAAGTTACATAATCGAACTGATAAGCTACTTAACCCTAGCTAACAAATTAGCAGTATATAAAAGCTAAATGGTGAAAAAGAATATGAATGAAGCACATACCGTATGGACAGGTGTCCAACGTTCTGAAGCAAGTTCGTATCCATTAGGATCTTCACCAGGAGGATGAAGAATAGAAATGCAAACTCTTCCATCAGAATAAACTGCAACAAAGTGTATAATAAACCGTCACAAGACTCAATCTAGAAAAAGCTCGAGGATGGAGAAAGATTTCTTCCAGAATTAAGCACACTCACCATTAGGATGCCACATCTCCGACGTGAACTTCACAGTCGGTGGACTAACTGGATAATTCTCTGGAAACGTCATAACCGCATTAAAAAACCCACCTTCACTGCAATCAGAGAATAAAGTCTCAATCCCATAACAACAATTCATTCAAAACAACCTAAAGCTTCATTTCACATCTCTACGAACAGGACAAAGTAAAACGAGTTACTTATCCTCAATCAAACATAGCATAAGTGGAACAGATTATTAGCTCAATGAAACCAATCAAATATCACAATAACGAATACGCTAAGCCAATCCCAAAAAAAGATAGATGTCATCATAAACTACCAAATCAATGCACCAATTTGAGATTAAAGAATCAAATTGAAACACACACAAATACTATCCTACATAATCTTATAACTTACAAAAACAGAGGCATATGGTGAATTGAACAAGACAAGTACAAAAAACTCACTATAAAGTATCAGGAGGACCCATAATCGAGACGCTCCATTGGAAAACGTTATTCTCATCAACGAGCCCAGCAGAGAAACCATCGACTGGTTTCTTACACAGATCTGAAAGACGACACACACAAAAAAAAAACGAAATCAACAAAATTAGCTTCAACCCAGAAACGAAATTCACCTCAACAATCGCAAAATCAAACCCAAAACCCCAGATCGAAAAAGCGAAACAGAAACCCTAGACGGATCGAGCAAAAAAGGGAGAACCTTTGAGTTGCTTCTGCAGAAGAAGGCTAGCTTGGTTCGTAGCCATCGGAAGCCACCGGCGGGTAGAGATTGAGAGAAAGAGCTAGATTCGGGGAGGAAGATGAGGGAGCTAAGGATTTCTTCTTGATATATAGTAAGTAGATGGTAGAGAAACCGTCTAAAAAATTACTACTTTTAGGGTTGTTTCAGGAATTAAATAAAAAAAGGGCGGTGTATTTGTAATTTTCCGAGAATGTTATCTTTTTCTCTGATTTAATTATATGGAAAAAGTTGTTCGTGAAAGGAATATCTCCAATATTAATATTAAGATGCACAATTTTCACAATTTGGGTTAATTTAACATTTTTTATAGAGAATTTTTTTTATATACTAGATAATACTAAGCTTAAGACACAAGATATGAAAAGATTGATTAACCAAAAAGACCATAAAATTACACGAGATCGGTTAAACTATGATTGTAAGTGGCTATTTATTTCGAAATCAAGTGGTGATATATAATTCTTTGTTTGTTAAAATGCATTGAGTTTTTGATTAACAATTTAATGTGAGATGTAGATAATTATCATAATTATTGTGTTATTTCGTTTTATCTAGATTGCAACACATTTTAGTGATTCAGAAAAACATTTGTTTGAATAATTAAGGAGTTTTCATATGGAAGAACAAGTCTAGAAATATCTAAAAAGAGAACAAGTAGTTTAAAGGATGATGAAATATTAGATGTTATTACTCTAATAATCGCATAAGAAAACAAATTGTTTCGAATTTCTTTTTTTTGCTGAAATATAAATATTATATAAATATGAAGTGTTTGGTAAACACAATAAAACATTACCTTACATAGAGCTTGGCAAAAAAAAAAAAAAGGTTAAAAACAAGATTATAATAATTTAGGAATGATTTGGGAGGTGTCACCGTAACCATAAAGGCACTAGAAAGTTCCAACGCTTTCGATGTCGTGGAGAGTTGATGATGTTGCGCACGTCTCTATCAATGTTATTCGATCATTGTTTAGAATTTCTTTCTCTCGATTATATATGAGGCAAGAGTGTGAGTGTTCAACTTCACGGTTGGTCTTGAATTCACTCCAATAACTATATATATCACCGAATTTTACATTCTACGTTGGTCCATTAGATGAAGAGAGCTACAACTGAAAGAGGAAGCAAAAGAAAATGTTATATTGACGGCTCGTAGAAGACATGCGACCGTACATGAGGTGTAGGCTGGGTTTTCGAGAAGTACAAGATGGTTATACGGATTTCTTAGGCATCCATAGTGACAAACAAACCATTTCACCCCTCCACAGTCCACAAAGGTCTTGAACCTCTTATGTGCAATGACGAATTTGAAGCGAAAAAAATATTTTGTACTTTATTCGTCATGGTTTCGAAGAAGCTTACTATGGTGATCGCACACCCTAAGAAATGGTCATGTTTTCAACCGGAGTTGAGTGAACTGGTCGAACTACAAAACTATGAATAACACCGATTACATGGATGTTCACTAGTATCCTCGAAAGAACCGAATGAGTGGGACTATTATTGTCAACAAAAAGTCACAATCCTATCTAGTTAGTCATACCATTATCGTGATCATCGGGAATCGATCTTTGGAAAATAGCGGATTGCACCAAGAATATAATCGTCACGGTCTCTGGAAGTATAATCAAGGGGTCCAAAACAATTTTTTCGGCCTATTAAACTAAAGATTATAATTTTTATACGATAATAAAAATAAGGGTGTAAGGGTAAACTTCTCACCTCGTCTTCTCTTAAACTGGTTTTTACCACTAGGTTATCTATATTTTTGAGTAAAATATATGGCTCTTAGAGCATCATTAACGCTAATTTTTTAGAGGTGTCTTAGTTTTAATCTGATTAAAAAATTATTTAATCAGATGAATTAGAGATGAAACACGTCTGTGGGATGAATCAAATGAATCGGGTCTTCGGGACACGTGGCGCTTTGTTATTGGACCTCTAGGTAAAAAAAATTCAGATCTCTGGTGGAAAAAAATATGCCTCGTCGTGTCTCTCTCTTTCTCTTCTCCTCCTC